TAGTTTTTTGACTATTCACAAAAGAAGTAACATCAAAGGAAACACATATGATCAAAAGAGGGTACAATAGACAATTTTTTAATATTTGATCTTGACATTAATGCATTTGTTCCATTATTTCAAGAGTTTGAATGTCATCTTCAAAAAATGTGTTTTTTTTGTGAGCAAAGCCAACACAGCACTTCAATCTAAACCTTCTGATCATTGTGAAATCTTTTTCCTGCAAGCACTCTCTTCATTAGCTCAAAAAGACAGTATCAGAAGGGTGCAGAATTAGGGTTATAAGATAGGTGTGAGATAATCTGTGGATAGGGGAATCCCTAATTTTAGGCGGCATCGGGTTGGTAAAACCTGCTCTCTTTGTACTGGATGGCTTTTAAATATAGTTGTTTCCAGATCATAAAATCTGGAGGACAGCTTTTCCTGACATCAGTTAGGATAGTAATAGTTCAAGTCCTAACTTGCGAATATTCCAATATGCAGCAAAATATGTCCCAATAGAAGGGTACTCTGTAGTTTGAGTGGGAGGAGGTTAGTTAAGTCGATAAGGTGTTGGCTAGCTACAAGATAATGAGACAGGTAGGTCAGCAATAACAATGTTTAATAAGCTAAAGCAATGAGTACACAGGGACAACTACATGCCTTCATATATATATCTACAATCATGCCCTTGCAGGACAATCCATTTCGAAATATAGAGACTACTTATCTCTAAGTTCTTAAATGCTAATTGTAGTAGAGAGAGAGTTTACATTTCTTTAAGTAATATACCTCATAGACAGATGATTCCAGATTTCGTTGTATGGGATGTTGGCAAAATGCACCAGGATTGGCAGTCTGTAGCGAGTAGTCCTCCTCCCTTTTGTGTCAGGAACATCTTGGCAGAGAGACGGGAGCCAGGAGACAGCGAGATGAGCTAGGAGACAGACAGAGATTTGGTCCTTCATTTTCTGGAAAAGTGTCTGCTCTGATGCTTGGATTTGAGCCCCTTTTATACACATCCCATATGAGAATGATCTCAGATGATTTTGATTTAATGTGTTCTAAGTTCAAGTTTGGCCTGGGTTTGGCTGATATGAGCCGTCAAGAAATGGACACTTGATGAATTATGGCTATTTTCTAGCTGTTATTGTGGCTCGCCTTACTCATAATTCCATCTGTCTGACATTTTACCATCATTAATAATCGATTGGTTTGACACCTAAGTCCAAACATCGTAGTGACTGTTGANTTCTCACTACTACATCTTTTGTCCTTTCTCATCTTTCCCTCCTTTTCCCAAATTTGGGTCTATAATCCTTTGAGTCACAACTCCAGCTTTATTTAGTAATCCTTCCGTATTCACACATCTCCAAGTGTTTGAAAATATTTTCTTTCCATTCAAAAATAAAATATGAATAAAGGTTTACAGTTTTGTGAAACTTTTTTTTGAGTTCATGCCATTGAAATAAATAAATAATAAAAAATTAAAACATTTGTAGGTTTTGTTTACATGTTTATTGGGCCGCATTGGAACTTGCCTTGGGCCGCATGAGGGCCGCGGGTTGGACACCCCTGGCTTAGACCATCCGGCCTTCAATGTTGCTACTTAATGGTCGGATGATCAAGGTAGTAAAAGCGTAAGTTTATTTCTCCGGAACGTCCCAATTCGGATTTGGATCGGTTCAAAACTTTTTATACATGGATTGCTCCGTTCGTCAGAATCATCGCGAGCCTGGTCGAACGTGTAATGAACATGATTTAAATCGTAATGTGCACTCTTGGTGCTTTCATTGTAAAAACAAAAAAAGAAAATTAAAACAGAAAATTAACGGCCATTCAAAACGACCAGATAATATTAATTCGTAGGAACTACCGCAAGCAAGAATCGAATTCGGACTCTTCTGTAGGAAGCTTAATACGTTTCCGCGAGCCGCTTAGTACACGTAGGAAGCTTAATACTGCCAATGAGACTATAAAATTTCTTTTTACTATAGTTATATTAATTTAATATTAAGAATACGTTTGAAAACAGACATATTTCTCGACAGATATAAAAAACGCTTAAATGACAATTGCGATTACAAAAAGAATTAATATTTTTATAGAGTAAAAGTTTTTTAAAATTTTGTAATAAATATTAAAAATACATATATAATATTTTAAAATTAATAAATTTAAATGTTATAAACGCATTATTTATCGAATTAAATTATATACGTATTTATGCTAACAGAAATATCCGTTAGGTGGCGCTATTTATAAATTTCTTTGCAGAATTACTTTTTAGTTCAGAAAATAACAATTGTTTTTTCTTATAAAAACAAGAATTATCGATGAACATCAAAAGTTCTTTTGTAAAATTCGCGTTTTCGTCGTCATTGGGTGGTATGAACATTTTTATTTCTCAATTAAAATATGAATAATCATACACCAGTTATATTACAAATATATTCATTAATTAAACTAATTTCGTGTGTAAACAAACAGATTTTATGATTTGATCACCATTTATGGATTTATTTAATGCAACAGATAAATATTCAACAGTTTCATCATATATTATTCTTATTTTAATATATTTTCTTTTATTTTTTTTAACTTTGCTTACATCAAATCAAAGTGCATTTTCTTATGATTTTAAGAAAGTGCACATTAATTTACATGGAAGAAAATGCACATTTTTCGTGTAAATAATTGTAAATTTATTAAAAATTCATGAAAATTGTGTATTTTCTTTGAAAGTACATTTAAAATATACACAAAAGACACAATTTTCATGTATTTTTGATATAAAATTCATGAAAATCGTGTATTTTCTTTGAAAGTACATTTAAAATATACATAAAAGACACAATTTTCATGTATTTTTGATATAAAATACATGAAAATGTGTATTTTCTTTGAAAGTACATTAAATGATATATGCAAAATACACAATTTTCATGATTTTAAATAAAATACATGGGAAAAAGTTGCATTGATTATCAATAAACAAAGATAAAAACTTTTTTTTATGTTATGCTTATTAAAATGACATGTTATGCTTATTACAATGACATGTTAAAAGTTGTAGCAAATTATTTTATAATCAGAAATTTAAGCCAAGTGGAAAATTTTTTAAATTGTTGTTTGTAATCTTTAGTAATTAGTGAATCATATGATATCAATCAAGTTTAAGAAGTACAAAGTTATAAATTATGTTAAATTTTATAATGATGATAATGTTAATATGACAAAATAATTACACTTACCAATACATTCTGAGTAAAAAGATATTTAAATGAATAATAAAGTTGGTAATATTATCCAACATATTATTATGCTTGTTATTGTTAAATATTTATAATCTTGATTTACTGTTAGGCAAGAATAAATAATAATTTTTATTCTAGCTCAAAAATAATTTAACTTGTAGATAGATGTTTGATGTTACAAAATTGTATTATGGTTTTTGTTTTGAATAAAACAAAAACCATAATATAATTTTGGTTTTTGTTTGTATTAAATTTATTCTTTTTTAAGTAACAGTCTTTATACACCTATCTATATATGTTTTTTTAGAATCTAATTCTATAATCTCATTGCAATTTTGTAGTATATCAGCTATTAATTAAGAATTAATATTTGATTGCTATTTTTAGTTCGGAGCATTATTTATATCAGTCAGTTCCAAGGATGGAATTGAAACTATTCCAAAAATGTTAATCAGTCTATAATTAAAACTTTTTCTGGCTCCTTAAGCATTTTTAGTATGTTTTGATATTTTTTTTGTGAAGTAAATAGATTTTTTTTATATTCTTAGTTATGTACTGAATTTTTTAAGCAACTACAAATATCAACACTGATATAGTTTAGATTACATGGCCTTAAAGTAAGATTAATTAGTTGCTTAAATAATAAAATGTAGAATTTTTATAATAAAACATTTGGATTCTTGTTAATAGTTACAATTATTTTACATATTGTTTTATTAATTTTTGTAAAAATAAATAATTTAGATGTAGAAAAGTAAAAATATAGTAAATTAAAATGTATCATATAAATAATAAGTACTAATTTTTCTTGCAATCTAGATATTTAAGAAAATTTTCAAATATTTACTTCTGATTTTCAAAAATAGTTATTTGGCACATAGTCAAACATATCATATTTTAATGTCGTAAATAGATGTTTCAATTTTTTTTTTAAATATTCAAAAATTTTTCAAATGTTACATATAAGTCAATTTTAAACTTTTATAATGAAATTACCAAGGATACAAAATATTATTTTAGATAATCTTAATGACAAAGTTCAAGACTAAGATAATCATACAAAATTTTCTAACAAAAAAAGGTAAAAGGTTATTTTATATTTTTGTGTAAAATATATTTAAAAATATAAATACCAATGCATGATGCATTAATTAAGACAAACCATTCTATGTGACAAGTGTTTTATATAAAATCAATTTGAACAATAATGTTAACATATTTTGCTTTTCTTTTGGTAGTTCTAATAAATTACAAAAATTTAAAACAAAAAATTTTACTAAAGATGATTATCACTTATTATTAAGGAAAATTAATCATCATTTTATCACATTTTATTTTTAAACTTACAATCTATTAATATTATTCTTGAAAAGTTAATGTTTATAAAAGATACAAGAATTTTTGTTTAAAATTTTACTTTCTTTTGCATGAGTTTGAGTATTTTATTAATAAATTATTTTATTTTTGCATTGTTAATGGTAAGCAGTTACTCAGTAAATCTGCTGAACAAATAATCTGTTAATCATTTGCATAGGTGTTTCATTTAATTTTAAATGGAAAATCTTAAAAATAGACATAAAGTAAAAAATGAATTTATATTCTGTAATTCAGATTAAGTATTTGGCTGTTATTTTAATATATATTGAAATAATATTAAATATCTTGCACTATTACTACTAGGATTAATTAATAACAATAATAATAATGCAAGATATTTATTACTACTATTATATACGTATTTATGCTAACAGAAATATCCGTTAGGTGGCGCTATTTATAAATTTCTTTGCAGAATTACTTTTTAGTTCAGAAAATAACAATTGTTTTTTCTTATAAAAACAAGAATTATCGATGAACATCAAAAGTTCTTTTGTAAAATTCGCGTTTTCGTCGTCATTGGGTGGTATGAACATTTTTATTTCTCAATTAAAATATGAATAATCATACACCAGTTATATTACAAATATATTCATTAATTAAACTAATTTCGTGTGTAAACAAACAGATTTTATGATTTGATCACCATTTATGGATTTATTTAATGCAACAGATAAATATTCAACAGTTTCATCATATATTATTCTTATTTTAATATATTTTCTTTTATTTTTTTAACTTTGCTTACATCAAATCAAAGTGCATTTTCTTATGATTTTAAGAAAGTGCACATTAATTTACATGGAAGAAAATGCACATTTTTCGTGTAAATAATTGTAAATTTATTAAAAATTCATGAAAATTGTGTATTTTCTTTGAAAGTACATTTAAAATATACACAAAAGACACAATTTTCATGTATTTTTGATATAAAATTCATGAAAATCGTGTATTTTCTTTGAAAGTACATTTAAAATATACATAAAAGACACAATTTTCATGTATTTTTGATATAAAATACATGAAAATGTGTATTTTCTTTGAAAGTACATTAAATGATATATGCAAAATACACAATTTTCATGATTTTAAATAAAATACATGGGAAAAAGTTGCATTGATTATCAATAAACAAAGATAAAAACTTTTTTTTATGTTATGCTTATTAAAATGACATGTTATGCTTATTACAATGACATGTTAAAAGTTGTAGCAAATTATTTTATAATCAGAAATTTAAGCCAAGTGGAAAATTTTTTAAATTGTTGTTTGTAATCTTTAGTAATTAGTGAATCATATGATATCAATCAAGTTTAAGAAGTACAAAGTTATAAATTATGTTAAATTTTATAATGATGATAATGTTAATATGACAAAATAATTACACTTACCAATACATTCTGAGTAAAAAGATATTTAAATGAATAATAAAGTTGGTAATATTATCCAACATATTATTATGCTTGTTATTGTTAAATATTTATAATCTTGATTTACTGTTAGGCAAGAATAAATAATAATTTTTATTCTAGCTCAAAAATAATTTAACTTGTAGATAGATGTTTGATGTTACAAAATTGTATTATGGTTTTTGTTTTGAATAAAACAAAAACCATAATATAATTTTGGTTTTTGTTTGTATTAAATTTATTCTTTTTTAAGTAACAGTCTTTATACACCTATCTATATATGTTTTTTTAGAATCTAATTCTATAATCTCATTGCAATTTTGTAGTATATCAGCTATTAATTAAGAATTAATATTTGATTGCTATTTTTAGTTCGGAGCATTATTTATATCAGTCAGTTCCAAGGATGGAATTGAAACTATTCCAAAAATGTTAATCAGTCTATAATTAAAACTTTTTCTGGCTCCTTAAGCATTTTTAGTATGTTTTGATATTTTTTTTGTGAAGTAAATAGATTTTTTTTATATTCTTAGTTATGTACTGAATTTTTTAAGCAACTACAAATATCAACACTGATATAGTTTAGATTACATGGCCTTAAAGTAAGATTAATTAGTTGCTTAAATAATAAAATGTAGAATTTTTATAATAAAACATTTGGATTCTTGTTAATAGTTACAATTATTTTACATATTGTTTTATTAATTTTTGTAAAAATAAATAATTTAGATGTAGAAAAGTAAAAATATAGTAAATTAAAATGTATCATATAAATAATAAGTACTAATTTTTCTTGCAATCTAGATATTTAAGAAAATTTTCAAATATTTACTTCTGATTTTCAAAAATAGTTATTTGGCACATAGTCAAACATATCATATTTTAATGTCGTAAATAGATGTTTCAATTTTTTTTTTAAATATTCAAAAATTTTTCAAATGTTACATATAAGTCAATTTTAAACTTTTATAATGAAATTACCAAGGATACAAAATATTATTTTAGATAATCTTAATGACAAAGTTCAAGACTAAGATAATCATACAAAATTTTCTAACAAAAAAAGGTAAAAGGTTATTTTATATTTTTGTGTAAAATATATTTAAAAATATAAATACCAATGCATGATGCATTAATTAAGACAAACCATTCTATGTGACAAGTGTTTTATATAAAATCAATTTGAACAATAATGTTAACATATTTTGCTTTTCTTTTGGTAGTTCTAATAAATTACAAAAATTTAAAACAAAAAATTTTACTAAAGATGATTATCACTTATTATTAAGGAAAATTAATCATCATTTTATCACATTTTATTTTTAAACTTACAATCTATTAATATTATTCTTGAAAAGTTAATGTTTATAAAAGATACAAGAATTTTTGTTTAAAATTTTACTTTCTTTTGCATGAGTTTGAGTATTTTATTAATAAATTATTTTATTTTTGCATTGTTAATGGTAAGCAGTTACTCAGTAAATCTGCTGAACAAATAATCTGTTAATCATTTGCATAGGTGTTTCATTTAATTTTAAATGGAAAATCTTAAAAATAGACATAAAGTAAAAAATGAATTTATATTCTGTAATTCAGATTAAGTATTTGGCTGTTATTTTAATATATATTGAAATAATATTAAATATCTTGCACTATTACTACTAGGATTAATTAATAACAATAATAATAATGCAAGATATTTATTACTACTATAATTACTACTACTACTACTACTACTACTACTACTACTACTACTACTACTACTACTATTAAGAAAATTTATTTTTAGTTATTAGAACACTTAATTCTTATTAAAACAATAATCTTTATTCAAAATAATTAAGAATTAACAATTTTTTTTAAAGTCATAAAATAATTAAAAACAAAAATGATCATTTTATTAAAATCTATTATTCCATTTTTCTTAAAATGAATTTTATGATACTTAATATTTTAAATTCTAAAATAAAAAAATATTTAAAAAAGCAGAAAAAATCAAAATAAACTTGTTTAAAATTGTATGCTCAAGAATTTTAAATTAAATTTTAAAATTTTAAGAAAATATTAATCTTTAATATGCATTAAATATTTTAATAAACAGTGTATAAAAAATGATAAAACTTCACTATAATAGTTTATCATTATTAAAATGAAAATAAATACATATTTGTAATTTTTTGTGCTGTTGTGAAAATTTAGAAATTAACTAAAATTCTTTGAGATCATAAGAATAAAATATGAGTGCATTTCAAGAATTACAGCAGTGTTTTTGTTTTAATAAATTGATAAGTTTTTAATACTTTTAATGAAATAATTTTTTTTAATGCTAAAATAGTGTTGTGAGTGATTTTAGTAACTACACTGTACTGTACAGTACATATATGTATAGTATAGCTACTATGACAAAAATATAAAAAAAAGTTTAAATATATTAAATATATTTAAAAATATTTTTTATGCCCCTTTTCAAATTTAACTTTTTGAATATTTTTAGGTAATGATGTCACCAATTTTACAACACTGCCCATGTTTATATGCAGAAAATGATGATATTAGACACTTGGATTATAGTCATTCCAATTTGGAAGATGTACCTAATGAAGTTTTTAGTTTTGAAAGAACATTGGAAGAATTGCATTTAGATGCCAATCAGATTTGTGATCTTCCACGGGTATTTTCAATTTATTTCCTTTATATATTAGAGAGGTTGCAGCTGATGTTTTCATTGTGAAAACATGTACATTGGATGTTCAGTGACGCCTTTCTGTAAGCCTAGAAGTTTGACAATGGCATTTGGAACGTTGAGCATGATTCCGTTGATGTTCCAAACACCATTGTCAAACTTCTAGGCTTACAGGAAGGCAACGCTGAATGTCCAACATATGTGTTTTTGCGATGAAAACGTCAGCCGTGACTTCCCTATTGCTTTTGTTTATTACCTCATTAATTATAAAGCTAAATATTTAATATATTTTCAGAAATAGCAGTATATAAAATGTTGCAGGTTAATTTAACTATGCATTTTTCTTGCAGTATTAAGTTTACAAAATTTTTTGAGGAAATTAATATACATTAAAGGATTTTAGATATAAAATGCAATGATAAAAATAAGTTAAACGTCATAATTGTTAATATGGTTTCTGATTTTTAAATTTGCCTAATTACATTGCATTTTCTACAATTAAAGTTATTTTTTATTTTTTTTTGCACAAAAACAAATAAGTTTGTTTTTACATATACATATATATATATATATACAGTAGAACCTCGATTATCCGGACTAATTGGGGATGAAGGTAGTCCGGATAAGGAAAAATCTGGATAATCAAAACAAATACTTTAATTTGTCTTTTAATGATAATACAACATGTTTTCTTTTCGATGACATATTGGTAATATTAAAAGTAAATACTGTATTTAAATCGTGATCAAATTTTCAAGAAACAAATGTTCGTATTGAATTTGGACTACTACTGACCAATGCTAACAGACTACCTATTGTTTAAAAGGCCCTCTGGTAGCACAAGAAGACAGATTTTATGAAATAAAAAGCAGTTGAAACTGCATTTTTATGAATAAAAATTTGACAAACTATTTATCGTTTTATGACGAGCAAAATTTTTTCATCGCGTTCACGGTTTTTAAGTAATGCATAAACCTTTGAGGCGCGAGGCCCTTCGGACCGCAAGGCATAGGCGGTGGCCCACGTCGTCCATGCCTTACGCCGCCCTTGGTCATAGAAATGATGTAATTTGAAAATAAATTATTTATAAATACGTATGTCAAGTTATATTTTTATTACTATGTAAAATATATTTAAGAGTTTACGACCACTGTGCTGGGTGAGACATTGTTGAAACAAAAAAGTTATGCATTCCATCACGTACATAAACAGTGTCATAATTTGCCAAGTGCAAATCAGCAAATTCGTAAAATTTTTGTTTATTTTGAACAATCCGGATAATCGAAAATCCGGATAATGGAGGTTCCACTGTATATACAAATTATTTTTGATCATCATTTAATAGTCATTTTTAGGTCATGGAATAGAATAGAATTTCAAAAAATTAAAACATATAACCTATGTTTTGATTTTTTGAAATTCTGTTTTATGTAAATGTATAGATTTTTAGTTTCTTCTGTTTCCATATTTTCCATGCATGTGATGAAGTATGTAATAGGAAAGTTTCTAAAATTAATAAGTTTTTGCTATTAATTACTATCTTTATTTCCTTGTTCTGATGGAAAGAATAGTACCAAAAATGGTTACTAGTCCTACAATAGTCAATGAGTAGTGAGAGATGGGACTTAACATATATGAGTTAGATGGTTAATGAAAAATTCCTGCAGTTGTTTGTCTGGAGTTGGTTCCAGCCTGCTGCTCTGGATCTGAAGCCTGATGCCTTTATCAGCACAGCCATCTAATCAGCACTGTTTTGATGTTAATTGCTATTAGATCATGATTTCATGTAAATATTGTTAACATATTGGCTGTTAGCATTAACACAAATGTTTCATTTGGTAATGTTTATAAATTTCTTTGAAATAATATCAAAGAAAACTGTAACAACTATAAAATTAAAGCCTTCAGGAGCCATTTCTAAGAAATAATTGATATTCTGAGTGATTAATATGAAACAACAATATTGTATTTTTGGATCTGTAATTCTGTTATCAAAGAATTTCAATGATTCTTTTTCTGTATTTGTACTTCATAGAAAATAATAATTTTTAAATTGTAGAAGAAGCAATTTGATTTGACAAATTTAGAAATTATGACAAGATAACTACAATATTTAGCTTACTTTTATTATTTTTTATATCTATGATTTAAATAATAACTTATTTCTCCAGAAAATTTCAGTTACTTAATTGAAAAACATGAAATTATGCAAGAAAACATCAGGGTAAATCATCTTGCAACATCCTGTTTATGTTAAAATTATAATAACATAACATTTTATTTAAAACTACTGATATAAAAATCTAATATTTAAGCTAAGATTTTAAGAATTCATTATTTGTAATTATTGATGACATAAATTTTAATATATTAAATTTTTAGCCATTATTTCATTGCCATGGACTTCGAATATTATCCTTAAGTGACAATGATATAAAATCATTACCACCGGCTATTGCTTCTCTCATAAACTTAGAAGAACTTAACATCAGTAAAAATGGTAAATGTATTAAAATATTTTTCAAGAATTATTCATACACAATTTTAAAGAAAAGAGCAGTTGCAGTAGCCAAGTTGTTATGACTGCCATTTTTGGCTGTGCATCAAAACTTTTAATAAAAATACATCTTTATTCTTTTAGAAGAGAAGGTATATTTAATGTCATTTGAACATCTATTTGGTATTTTCTATAGAATAAACAGTTAAAAAGTATTACCTATTACTTTATTATCCAAACTGTTGAGTGCCAAAGGTTATGCATAACCTTTGTAATCTTGGCTTCTGAATTGACCTTTTGCTTTTGTTTTAAAGATGTACTATTAACATAAGTTACATAATTTTTGTAATAAAGTAGTAACTTATAAAATAGATCTGTTTGATAAATGATACATGAATTGTTTAAGATTATGAAATTGTAATTCAAATAATACTTTAAAAAAAAATTCAAATTACTAGTTCATTACTAATTTTTAATGTTTTGAACACCATATAGTGTAAATACATGAACACTAGGCAATCTTCATTTTAAATTTATTCAATTTTTAGTTGATATATGTACCTGTGAAGATTGCCTAGTGTTTGTATATTTACACTAGATGGTGTTCAAAACGACAAAAATAATTATCAACATGGTTTCAAGAATGTAAAACTAATTTTTAAATTTATTTGGTACTATCATTAATTTACTATTATGAAAACTTAAACAAACTTAAAATTAATAAATTATTAAAATTACCAAATTAAATAATTTTAATTTATTAATATTCTGATATAATTAATTGTAAAGTCTGATTATTAGATTAAAGTTTTAAGTTAGTAACTTGAGTGTGTGATGTCTTTGCAGGCACTCTATAAATTGTTATAATTTTTAATTAAAAATTAAATAATACATTAGAGTCCCGATAACCCAGCAGTCTAGATAACTCGGCGCAAGCTGTTATTTTCCCTTCTTTCTGCAAACGATGATGGTCAAGGTCTTATCCAGAACTTAAAGAAAATTAACCTATCGGATGTTGTTGGCTGGGTGACAGATGTCTGGAATGAGTTAGAGTCATTAACACTAGTTCGTTTCTGGTGAAAACGCCTTGATTATGAGGGAAATGAGTTCATTGAACATGATGATGCAGAAAATGTAAACTTACTTGACCTCCTGAAAAGAGTTCCTGGATGTGCAGAAGCCGATAAAAATGACATTGAACAGTGGTTCCAGAATGATACCTAGCAAGACATTATGTCCGATGCAGAAATTATTGCTGCTGTCACAGATAATGAAAATATGTCGGAAAATGATGAAGACGTTGACGTTGAGGACTCCACCATACAAGCTTCTAAAATATCACATAGTGAGGGACTAAAGACTGTCAAAACTGCATTTCAGTATTTTGAACAACAAGGTGTGTCGGTAATGGACTTACTGTTCCTTTGTCATCTTCGTGATGAAGCAGCAAAATGCAGAGTGCATTGTGGAAGACAACAGGACATTACGCATTTCTTTAAAAAAAAGTAGCCAGTTTTTGCAAAGTCGACTAGTTAATTTTCATTACAGACAGCTTTATGCTTCATAAAGTATTTTTCTGAGGTCTGTCTTCTGGTAAATTACTGTACACTGTGTATTCATTAATTTTCATTTTCATGTAGTAAAGGCTTTGTGCCTTCATAAAGTATATAATTTTCCTTTGTTTAAGGGTATTTGGGCAGTTTATTCTCTAATGTATTCTCAAGCAAGTACAGTACAGTATTTTCTGAGGAAGCACTCGTACTTATTCTTTTTCAACCACATTCCTGATAACCTGGCATTTTCACAAACTCTGCCACCACCCTTCGGTCCACATTAGGCTGAGTTTTCAGGACTCTACTGTACATATAAATATATTATTTAATAAACACTTAAAACAAGAAATAATGATGCAATAATCATAATAAGAAACAGACTGAAATATTGAAGTCAATATATTTTATTATCAGAGAGACTTTTGAATTAGACCAGTTCAAATAAGCTTGTTCCAAATTTAACTGATAATGAACTGGGATAATTTGATAGTATTTTGGTAATAAAAATGATTTACTTCTATATTCTACTTCTTTTTGATTGTATTATTTGATTAAGTTTATATGATGTAAATTCTTTTTTTGTTATTTAAAAAATGCTTATCAAATTTTTAAAATATATTCATAATCATTTAACTTTTAAAATTTTATTTCTGTAAAGGAATACTTGAAATTCCTGACAATATTAAAGGTTGCAAGTGCCTTACAATTATTGAAGCAAGTGTTAATCCTTTAGGCAAGTATGTATATTATCTGTAATTATTTTATCTGTGAATATATTATAATTTAATCATATACATATTTAATATGATAATCTTTAATTTATTGATATTTAAAAAATTTAGTAACAATTTTAGTAGTACAAATTGAAGATTAAAATTTAAGTTACATTTATTATTTAAAAAGAGTACTTTATATTTATTCAGACTTCCAGAAGGTTTTACACAGTTGATTAATTTAGAAGAATTATATTTAAATGATACGTTGTTGGAATATTTACCTGCTAATTTTGGAAGGTAAATCAAATATTTATGTATAAATATTATGTCAAGATAATTTTTAAAAAATGTAAAATATTTAAGAATAATTATTTTAAGCATTTTACTCATAAATCTATTATTATTCTAAGTTAGCATTACTTATTTTTGAAAAAAATTTGAAATTTATAGATTTTTGTTTTACATTTGTGCATAGGCTGCATATGATGAATTTTACAAATATAACCTTGCATAGGCCACAGCTTATAATCAAGATTTTGGGGTTTATTTCTCAAAAAAAGTTCTTTTATTATTTTATCTTGAAGAAAATGAATTATATATAAATATTTTAAAGAATATATGATATAAGATTTTTAATTTAAGTATTATTAGTTGATTTTTGAATAAAAATGTTTCTTGAACAAATAAAAATTGTTATTTTTTTTATCTTTAATGATATAATTATTTTATTTTTAGACTTTCACACTTACGTATATTGGAGTTGAGAGAAAATCACTTGAAAGTACTTCCAAAGTCTATTGCTAGATTGACAGAACTCATTCGTTTAGATATTGGTCAAAATGATTTCACAGAATTGGTAAGAAAACATTTTATATACTTTGGTAAGAATTTAGTAAGAAAACATTTTAAAAGCTTTCATGAACAACAAATTCAAAATAAATCTTAAAATCTTAATTGAAATCTTAATTGTAGATTGAAGTATTTTATGGTTTACTTTAAAATGCATGAATTTTTTTATATCTCGTGATTACACAAATAATTTAAATACAGTTTTTTGAATTTCAGATGTCTCAAGCTTTTGAAAAAACTTTGTTCTTTTTCATACAAAGTTATTAATGTCTTTTATAATCTTTAATATGATTTTTAAATAGGCTGAATTACATCACTTGTATGATTCTGTTAGATTAAATTATCAAATCTATATTCAAGTTAATGCTTAGTTTTATCAGTAGTTACACTGAATTGTTAGTTTTTTCTTATTAATTAATATTCATGAAATCTATACTAATATTATAAAGAGGTAATGTTTGTAAGTTTGTTTGCAGTAGGTAATCTCTGAAACTACTCATCCGATTTCAAAAATTTTTTCAAATATTTAGAATGGAACTTCAGGGTGGACATAGGCTGTATATTATTCTGTTAAACATTCAGATAAATTAAAATATATAACCTAGGTTAAGGCTTTTACGTCCAATAGATGGCACTACGGGCCCTAAGTACGATGCCCTAAGTTTGCTTTTCTGTGAGGCATTATGCTTTTCTGTGAAAATGAACTAAAGCGAAACATCTTCTATCTATCTATATAAATAAAAATGTAATGTTCGTTTGTTCCTACTGATTCCTTTGAAATTTTGACACAACGCTGCATTTGAATACGTACGTGTTTTTATATAATATACGTGTCAAAATTCAACCCCACTGAAGGGAGATGGTTAGGATTAAGGTTTATGGTAAAGAACTCTGCTTCTATTTATACTATTTTAGATGTGGGTTTTTGCATTTTTGATTGCGTTTTAATAGGGTACGTCAAGAGAATGTACACTAAGAAGAAATTTTTCGAAAAATTTCCCCCCATGGGGAAAGTGTTATACATTTATAATAGATACATTTTGAGCCACAACAACGCGTGGCGGGGTCTGCTAGTATTTCATATTTTTATGATAGTTAATAAACTATGTTAAGAATGAAAATATTTCTCATTAATTAACTTTGTTAAATACTTATTATAACTTATGACATTGTCTCTTTATTATTCTAATAGAACATTTTATGAAATGGACTTTAGATAGAAACTTTAAGGAATTGCCAAATAAAAATGACAATTTTATTTTAAATATGTTTTTAAATTTTTATCTTACATTCATAATAATTACTGAGTTATATTTATTTTAACATTTGTGTACAGTAATTATTTTGAATGTAAAATACAATTTAACTGTAAATGCTATACAGAATATTTAATATGTTCATTGTTCAAACATTAATACAAACTCTTCATTGATTTCATAATAAGAAAATAGTTGGATCAGATGCTATTCTCATATGTAATAGTATATAATACTGCAAAAAATTGCTTTACAGGGTAATTTTTAAATAATGAATAATTAAAATTAACCATTTTATTTTTGATGTAATTTTATAATACTTATTTAAATGCCTACAAAATTGAGCTCATTACACTTTAGGAAATGAAATTGGGAAAGAAATACAATAAAACCTCTCTTTGTGACCATTGTTATTTTGCACCATTTCATTTGTGATCAGCAGAAAAATTCCTCAAAATTTTTCCATTGATTTAAATGGGACATAAACCTGTATTTTGTGAGCAGCTCATACAGCCACATCTTCAGTATGTGATGGTATGTTTTTGTTCCCTTTCATACAAATTAGCCTCTGATATGTGATCATTTGCAAGAGTCTAGGCATGCAGTTATTTCAATGCAATTTCTGTTATATGGAGGTAATTTTCTTTGTTCTATTTCCAGGCATTAGTGAATTAAGATCTTCTTGGTCCCTTTGCATAATTTTATGACATCATAAACTAATAGTGTCTAATTGTAGCTATAGAATTATCTATAAGTTATATACAATTGCAACAGGAAAATTATTTTCATTTTTTTTCAGTTTTGAGGCTCCTATGCATATTCTTATGTACCTAGCTGGCAATCCAGCACTGTTTCTGGGAATGCTATTATGATTATCATTAACCAATGAAATGTAATTTCTGTACAGTAATAAATGGATTAGGGTGGCTAGCAACTTAGATTCTTTAACAGAATTGTAAACAACTGTAAATTCCAGCACAAATTTTTTAATAACTAACATTTAACCTTATTCAAAATTCTTAATCAGGCTACATTACTCTGAATATCAAAGACACTCACAGAATGATATTCAAAATTGATTAATTTGATTTACTAAATAAAGCTATTAATAATGCTCAAAACGTTTTTGACTAAACTGTAATATTATCATTAAAAAACTGCTATTGAAAGCTGATCTTTAATAAACTGCTTAAAATATTTTAAATTTTGAATAAACATCCTTTTTGTCTTTGTAAGTTTCAAATTATTTAATAACTAGCAGACCCCGCCATGCATTGTTGTGGCTCAAAATGTATCTATTATAAATGTATAACACTTCCCCCGTGGGGGGAAATTTTTTGAAAAATTTCTTCTTAGTGTACATTCTCTTGATGTACCCTATTAAAACGCAATCAAAAACGCAAAAACCTGCATCTAAAATAATATAATAGAAGCCAAGTTCTTTATGGTAAGCCTTAATTCTGTCCCTCTTTCCCACAAGGGAATATCGAAAAGTCCCTTCTTAGTGTACATTCTGTTGACGTACCCTATTAAAACGCAATCAAAAACGCAAAAAACCGCATCTAAAATAGTATAAATAGAAGCAGAGTTCTTTATGGTAAGCCTTAATCCTAACCATCTCCCTTCAGTGGGAGGAATTTCGACACATATATTATATAAAAACATGTGCATATTCGAATGCAGCGTTGTGTCAAAATTTCAAAGGAATCAGTAGGAACAAACGAACATTACATTTTTATTTATACAGATAGATAGAAGATGATCTGCTTTAGTTCATTTTCACAGAAAAGCATAATGCCTCACAGAAAAGCAAACTTAGGGCGTCGTACTCATAGCGTCATCTGTTGGACGTAAAAGCCTTAACCTAGATTATATATTTTAATTTATATGAATGTTTAATGGAATAATATACAGCCTATGTCCACCCTGAGGTTTCATTCTAAATATTGGTGAAAGAATTTTTGAAATCGGATGAGTAGTTTCGGAGATTACCTGCTGCAAACAAACTTACATACATACTTACAAACATTACCTCTTTATAATATTAGTATAGATGTAAATTGAAATAAAGGTTATAAGTGACATCCTCTGTTTTGTGACCACTTCTGACTTTCCCCAAGAGTGATCACAAATGGCAGGTTTTATTGTAATTGGGAAAATTTATAAAGAAATTATTTTAAATAGATATGCAATTTTGAGATATATGTAACTCAAAATTGCATATCTAATTAACTTCTTCCAAAAATATTATCAAATTAAATCAGATGAAAACAAACAAAATTTCTCAAAGAGTGATTGAAGAATTTCACTTATTGTTTTATTAAAATTTAACTACACATTGTTATACAATTTTATAATTTGACTTGAGTTATTTCAAACATATATTTTGGTTTTTATTTCATATTTATTTTTGAGGATATTTAGTTTATTTTCAATAACTACTTTTTGAAATTGTATATTAATTTTATATGAAAACAAATGACATAGATAAAATTATATATATTAATTATAAATTGTTTTACAGCCAGAAGTAATTGGAAATCTGAAGAAACTGGTTGAATTATGGTGTGATTGTAATAATATTATTGCTCTTCCTTCAGTATGTTTTAAATGTTTTTAATTGTTTAAAATATAATTTTGTATATATTTTTAAATTACATATTATGTTTGAACAGTTTTTAGGTAATTTGAAGAAATTAAGCCATTTAGATGCAAGTAAAAATAAGATATATGAAATTTCACCTGAAATAGATGGCTGCACATCACTTGTTGATTTGAGTTTATCAACAAACAGATTAAAAGAGCTTCCAGATAGAATAGGTAAGAAAAAACATTTGATAGTCTTGAATAGCTGTAAAATAGATAAAAAATAATAAAATTATTTTTGTAATTAATCTCTATTACTCAATAATTTAAAATGTTTTTAAAATGTCAAAAAAACAAAGAAAATAAAAATTTCTTGATTTATTGTAGAATACTAACTCTGCAATGAATTGAGAAATATTATGAAAGAAGCTTTTGAAGAAAATGAGAAAAAATTTATTTTAAATATACAGTGAAAACTGCTTAGGCGACCACCTGCATTCGACGGGCACCTGCCAAAACGGGCAAAAATTTCTGGCACGGAATAGTTTATCCATAGAGTCTTCGTATAAGTTACCTGTATTAAACGACCACCTGTGTAACGCGACCGCGGGCACCGATTTTTGGTCCGAAACAACATACAACACCTGTAATAAGCGACCACTTTCGCGAATGTATCTGGTCTAAACTATTGTAAGAACCCATCTCAACAACGTTTCCACCTCCTAATATAATGAATTAGTCTAAACTCTCGTTCGAACCCATCCCGGGCACTTCTCCCACCCTTGAAATTAGGTGCAGGTGTTAATAAATTAGTCTAGCAACAAAGGAAATTCATTTCAGTTTGTTGGAAAATGTCCGAAATGCAAAGTGCTGTCGTTAGAAGATCGTATTAAAGTTATCACAACAGCAATTAGCGGCGAAGTTTAACTGTGGGAAAACAAAATTTATTTTACCCTAGACCTACAGTATTTTCCTTGGGGGTGTAAAATATTGTACACGATACAATTAATCGGCTGATCTCATCGTTTGATAAAATCTATTTTTATTTATTTATTTTGAAGCTCATATACAGTACACGTGCGATAAATAGTTTCTGTATCAACCTACCTTATTTCCACGATATTTTTAGAAAAATAATATCCAAGTAATTTTCGCAGGCAAAATATTCAAAAAACAATAAACGCATTAATGCAAAAATCAGTTTTACTTCCTTTTTCGATTCCGCGATTGTAATGAAATCGTATAATGAGAAAAAATAATAAAATCGTTTTATTATTAATTAATAATTTTTCTTATTGTACTTAATTAATTAAGAAAATATTAAATATTAAAAAATACAGTATTTTTAAAGTTAAAATAAGATTAAACTAACGAAAACCAAAAGCAAAGTGATGGAGAGATAGGACGCGCTTGTATATTGATGACGTAATACACGTAACTGAGGAGCGAACGAAAAGAACTGAGTCGAATTAATTAAGTCGGAAAAAAAAAGAAAGTGTGCATTATAATCGAGAAAATGCGAGTATTGTATTAATCTTTAAAATATTGGTATTAAATCTGTCATAATATCATGACGATTCCTGTAAATCGGGTTATCCGATAAGAATAAAATACAATACCAATATAGCCCTATCGTTGAAAAAATTCGCTTATTTTTGCTCGCCTCGAGTTTTGCTTAGTAGAAATGGCTAAAAAGTGTGCAAAATACGTACAGAAATACGGTATTACGGCACCACCTGTATTTGACGACCACCTGCCTAAAAGACCACTTTTTGAAAGAACCGTGGGTGGTTGCCATAGACAGGTTTTACTGTATTTGATTTTAAAAAATTTCATTTTTAAATAAAAACTTGAATTCTTTACACAGGAAATCTAAAAAAGTTGACAGTTTTAAAAATTGATGAGAATCGACTTGTTTCTTTACCACAAAGTATTGGAAGGTAAATATTTATCTGAATTACTCTTTTAATATTTTTATATAACTAAGTTTTATTAATTATGCAAAAATTTAATACTAGCAATAAATTAATTTGTCTGAATGCAATATTTGGTAGTTGTATTATACAAATAAATGTAAATAAAATTTTAAAAAGTTTAATCATAATTTAAAATATTCAATTCTTCTGCAAATAAAAAGTAATAATAAACTGTTATTTTCTTTTCCTTTTTTGTTTTTTTTTTTAATGCAAACTCTTATAACAAGCATTGGAGATCCAAGTGCATTTGCTCATAAGAAATACTATTTGTTTTTTTAATTATTTATCCTATCACTCACTAATAATGTATACATATTGAGCATATATGTTACTGTGAATGATTGATATCTGGCAAATGTCAGCATTCACACAGTTGTTTTGTGTATGTACAAAATATTTGCTAAATATCATTATTTCTCACTTACACCGGCAAATGTCGACAGTCAGCATGCACTGATGGTGAATGTTGAATAAAAATATTTTTATTACGTTAAGAGAAAAATGCAACATTTTAATATGTGAAAATAGGAGAAAGCTTAAGTAACAGCACATGTAAACAAACTGTTGAACCTAAAATGAACAGTACATTCTTAACCATTAAAGAAAATAATACAATAATAAACTTACACATAAATTGTGTGATTAACATTATACAATCTTATTTTTGAATTGCACAAGAGTCCCTTGCTTTTACAACTGCATTTATTCGTGGAACACTTTTTTTTGAAATGACAGCGTGTATACCTTGCCCTCCACTTTTTGAATTAGCTGCAGCTGCTTCTCAGTGATATTTCATGAGAAGAAATCTCATCTATAGAAAGTAACTTTTCTTTACAAATTACAAACGGATTATGTTATTACGTGGTCACGAACGTGATCTGTTAATGGTGTCTTTTATTCGGATATCGCTGATGCCTTACCGACAATCCCTCTCGTCCTCTGCTGCTCAATCTGACAAACTGATCCCCACTTCACGGGATCAAAAGACCTTGTCCTACCTTCGGCTACCCACAAAGGATTTGGCAACAGACTGTCGTCTCTCTGTCAACATCGGCTTCTCAGGTGTCATTTCAACCTCCACCGAAGCTTATCTGTGCTTGTTGACATACACCGGCAATTGTTCAAATGTATAATAATATAACCAAATATTCGGACTTTCACTGACGTATTTTGTATGTGTCGACATTCTCTAATTTTGGTCTTTCACAGTAACATATATAAATATTTATTTAGTCAGTAACTATCAGTGTGACTTAATTTTCATTTTCATTAAGATTTATATTTTGCTTGCTTGGACTTTTTCAAATTTAAACAATATTTTTATATTGAATTCTTTTATGTTCCTTAAAAAATACATAATCTGATGATAATTTATAAAGAAAATGAAAAACAGTAGTTTTAATTAAATATTTCTCAGATCATTAAATATTTTTTGTTATTTGATACTGTATTCAAAAGATTAATTTTATAAGGTACTTATTATTTGATTTTGTTAATTTTATCTTATTATAATTTTCTGATATTCTTTCATTAAGTATAAATAATAGTCTAACCAGAAATAAATCTTAAAATGGTAAAAATGATGATATAAACTTTGGAAAGGCTGTATAATTACATTTTTTTGTACATTTATAATTTTATACTTAAAAATATTTATTGCTTCGTTATACATATATCTTTTAAATATGTATTGTAAATGTTCATATATTATTTTTTAATGTCATATTTTTTATTAAAAATTTAATACATTTAAGTTTTTGCAACTGTTAATAATATAATGCTTTATAATTTGATAAATTCTATTATTATTTACTTGACTATATTAAGTAATAAATTTTACATGCTATTCGGAAGCTTATTTGTAAAAATTATTATTTTTAATTAAAAATTAGATTATATAAATTAGAAGAACTCATTATTAATTCGAATGATTTGGAATATCTTCCTGAAAGTATTGGTTTATTACGAAGTCTTCATTCATTGTTTGCTGATGATAATGTTCTAGTTGAATTACCTGCTGAGGTATCTATTTTATATTATTTTTATTATGAATCAATGTTTTAAACTATAATTTATACAACAGAAATTATTTTAATTTATTACTATTATCAGTTATTCATTGTATTATGCATAATTAAATCTATTAATAATAAAAAAAAATAATTCACATAGCTATTTGTAATCAGAGTATAAGATAAAGAAATATTCTGATTCCATACATATAATAAATATTATATGATTATTTATCTTTATTGTATTCTATATTTAAATATATCTTTGTATATGAAAATTTAAAAAAAATTTCATATATAAAGATATGATGATATGTTTTAAAATATTTAGTATAAATATTTAATTAAAGTTTAGAATCTTATAATTTGTACCTAATAATAATTCTCATTACTGCAATTAATCTAACATAATTAAGGAATCAATTTTTAGGCTGCAATTTGAAAAAAATTGTAGACCTATAAATTCCCATTGGCATTTTTCTGTCCTTTGTTAGTCTCAAGAACAGAATTAGATAGATGAAAATCGAGACCAGATATGGAATGTTTAGGGGCAGGAGGCCACAATTAACTATATATGAACTTATGGTTTGCATCAAAAGTCATACCATTTCAATTCAAGAGTCTTTCTGTAAAAGGAGTTAGATGACCAGCATGACTCTGTTGCTAACAGGAAAAGTATGATGTACAGGGGCAAGACACTACTAATTTGAGATCAAGAGCATATATTTTAAATTAAATAAATTAAAAATTGCAGCATGACATTGTGACAATGTCATAATAAAATAATTGCTTTGTTTCTTTGGTTTTTGTTAGTACAGAGCTGACTAACAAAAATAACACATTAAATTATGAATAATTGGTTGCTAATATGTTGTTATATGCGTGGGTTGAAAAGTCTTTGCATTGAATTAATATTTTGCAAAATAAATAAATAAACAATGTTTTTACTTTAACACTATATAGACTACAGTTTTGTCTCTAATTCTTAATTTAATCACCAAACAATTTATACAATTATCCTAATATATCATCATTTTATATTTGCATATGTTTTAAAACTCATTTGACTGGTTATAGAATCACAGATAAATGGAAATCTTCAACTCAGTATCTTTGTTAAAGTATTTTGTTTAAGGAATTTCTTCATTGGTCCAAACAGAAGTTGATCAGAAGAGATTTGGACTAAAGAAGACATGAGAGAATTTACCAATCCTGCTCATCAGTAGCCAAGTAGATAAAATCATTGAACACTGGTCATGGATTTATGCCTCACCAACAGGCTAGCCACATGGAGTTTTCCAGATTTTCTTCACTTGTCTAACATTTAAATATGGGCCATTTTCCTATTTAAAGTCTTCCCATGAGGTATCTTCTATGGCAAATTGTTGATTTCTTATGTTGCTGTACCTCATTAATCCACTTCATTCCAGTTTAATTTACCAGTCTGTGTTTACAGCTTTTAGGTGTCTCTACTGCCATACGTGGTCAGGCATTACCATACAAAACAATTACATCTCCCTAAATGCATTTCACTCACTCTATTGATTTTACTACACCCAAGCAATGAAGTTTCATAGTAAGAGCATGTAAAAATTTGTATAGATGACAGATGAATGTACGAAGGGTATTTTTTAAAATAAGGTCCGTTTTTTTGATAAGAAGAAAAATACTGTAAATATCATTAAAATATATTTTTTCCCATATTCTACATACTTTTATCTACTTTTCTACATAATTTTCATTTTTTTTTTCAAACATTTGTCACACCGCTCAAAAATTATTTTAATTCTGACTTTAAATAAATCTGCTGCCTGCTGCTGGAAGTCATTAGGCCATGCTGCATGCCTTGTATGGCATGGCAGAGTTTTCTCAAGGTCACAATAAGCATCAGAATTGATTGTTGTGCCTCTTGGCATAAAATCCACTAACAAAGTCCCTTTCCTGTCCCAAAAGACAGTTACCATGATCTTTTGTGCTGAAATCGAATAACAGATCGTATCTTACAGTCAGTGGGCGACTTAATTTTCTTAAACATTATAAACTTTTACAGCTCAGCACACAGACAAACGATACGGATGTAAATGGCATCTAAACATGCACAAAGCATGCTGAAAGCAGATGCTCATGCACACTGCAATTGCATATCATTCTCACTCTCATTCACAAACGGACCTTATTTAAAAAATAGCCCTCGTATTTTGAAGACTGATATAAATTGAATTATTTCTATTAAAAACTTTTTTATAAATTCAGTCCCTAAACTTAGTAGATGCACCTTGTATAGTCAATGTTGACTATTACCGTCATCTATACAAATTTTTGCATGCTCTATAATTTATGCATGCCCTCATGAAAGGATCTTTTTGGAATGCTGTTTTGTTTCTTCCATACAGCCCATTTGATTTCCAAAATTGATTTGAAATTGTTTTTTTTTTGAAGCAAATTTTAATTTGGAGAACAAGAAGTAATCAGTTGGGGGCTGTATATGATGATATACACTGTGTATGTATACTTTGAATGTACATGATGTATTAAAGTTAATGCTTTTATGCACTATGTATGTATATGATATGTTATCATCATTAGTACATTTTTTAACTACTAAATAGCTTATCAGTAATCTCTCTTAAGTTAGTGATAATCTGTTAAAAAATTCTTTACAATAATTTTTGTAGTTTTTCTAATAATAATTATATTTGCAATTGCAAACATAGTGTTAATATTAATGATCACAAATATAATTATTATTAAAAATAAAAGTTTAAAGATAGATTTTAAGATCTACTTTAATAAATTGTTTTGTTGTTCAAAATATTTTAAAGAAATTCAAATAATTTCAAATGTAGTTTTTTTTTACTAAGTTATGTATTTTTAAATAAAATATATATTTACATTATTTGTATATAAATATTAGTATGAAAGTTAAATACAATATTAAATTTTGTAATATACAGAAGTAAAAATTGTATTTTAATTTAGTGGTATGACAACTTGTAATGAAAATCATCAATGTTTTTCATTTGAAATAAGAATAGTTATGTATATAGAATTAATTTTCATTGAATAAATAAAACTAATACTTGTCAAATACCAGCTTTTACTATTACTTTATAATGGTTTTTAATACAGGTATGCACTACTTAATGACAAACTGCATACATGACAGAGGTCCCATAAGCTGAAAAACTTGTAATCATCTGTATTGTTTCTATGTTTAGATACATAAATATTTATCATTGTGTTACTTATAGTTTGAGTAGAAAACTGTACCATATAGGTTTTGTCTATGATGTTTGCTTAATGAAGTATTTCTCAAACTGTATCCCTCTCATTAAGTGGTGCATACCTGTATTATTATTAATGATTCTTGGAAATCAAGAATTTAATTTTCTACATATTTATAATTGAAGTATAATAATTTATTGTATATTAAATTACTGCATGATTTTCAAATTTAAGTGAATAAGATTTAAAAGACCTAAGTAATCAAACAGTTCAACATATAGTTTGAAAATTTACAATATATTCTAAAATATAAATAAATAAAATAGAGTTATAATATTGTTTAATGTAGTATTTGTAAAGAAAAGATGATTTTTGTCAAAAGGTAATGCTTTATTATCTATACTTTTTTTATATTTTATATAACAGGTATTGAATGTTATTTGTAGATTTATCTGTTAATTATATATGCATAAAGAATTTTTTTTATTTGTAGATAGGAAGTTGTGTAAAATTATCAATTTTGTCTTTGAGAGATAACAAATTAATTGAAATACCAGCTGAGGTTGGACATATTTTAAATTTAAAAGTTATTAATTTAAGTGGAAATCAACTTGAATATCTTCCATTCAGTATTGCAAAACTTATTAATCTTCAAGCATTATGGCTATCAGATAATCAAGTGAGTATTTTTTTTCAGTTATATTTCATTATTATTTCACCAAACAGTTTATCTTTCAACACACAAATTGAAAAGTAGAGTTAAAATTATAGATAAATAATCTCATATTTTAAATTTTATTAAAATTTGATACTATAAAACAAGAAGATTATTCTTACTACTGTCAGATGATCATATCACAACAATATTTTTGTCAATATACTGTATATGTATTGGCTGAAGATGGAGTATGAAAGGATGTTGAAACATTTTAGATAAGAAATAAAATTCATTACTTTAATGAATTTCTTTGATTATTTATCTATGATAAAAATGGTTCTACTTAGGCTAGTATTAACAACATGCATATGAACAATATTTTATTTTCATCTTGACATATAAAGCAATGTTTATGTGAAAATTGTTAATATTATGTATAAATTATATTTTTCCTTTATTGTTCTGTCTACTAATTTTATCATCTAGAGCAGTGTTTCCCAAACTTTTCAGACTATTACTACCTTTTAATGCATTTATTTCTTATATATGTTTTGTTTTAAAAGAATTTCTGCCTCTTGTCTTCCAACTAGCTTACCACCCCTTGCCTTCCAGCATCCCCTTGAATCTTCTACCATCCTCAAAGAAGTAGCACCATTTTGGGAATTGCTAATCTAGCGTTTTTTTAATGATCTGAAATACATTTGCATATTTATGAGAGGCATCCAGAAAGTAAAGAATATTTGGCTATAAAAAAAGAAAAAACAATAATGATAGAAAAAAGTTTTAGTACAAGGCCAATTACTTTTCTACATAGTCATCATTTCAATTAAAGCACTTGTAGTGCAACACTACTTTTGGATTCCTTTGCCATAGACTTCCACCACCAGTTAGTGATAACTTTCGCCTTGTCATCCATCCCAAAACATTCCAAATTCATCTGTAAATGAATGTGAAAATCTAGAATGGATTCTCAAATACTAGTAGCCCAGGATGCCCCCTAGTGGGCGTTCATTACAAATTCCCATGAGGCATGGTTCCTTTGACTTTTTTGTTTCTACTAAGATGCTCTACAGCTCTGTTGAAGTCCCAATTGCATCATACGGATCTAGATTTCTACTTACTAAACATTCTATAAAACTTTAAAATAGTTTAATTTGTTTATTTACCTTCGCTTGTAAACTTTGATTTTAAATGTATCCGCCATTTTTTTCAACAAATTTCTCGTGAGTCAATGCATGAAGTTCACTGAGTCACGAGATGTTGTAAACATGCGGCGCAAGGTTAATCAAGGCATATAATAAGGCAAGGCAAGGCAAGGCATATAATAATTATTTATACCATTCCGTGGTATAAATAATAAACTCATATCAACAATAAATTACAAATAAAAATAATTTATTGTTAATTTAAAATCATCACTAGGGCGCCTCTAGTGCCTGTTTTTGGCATACTGTTACGTGGATGGACGGACACATGTTCGATGGGTTATATAGATAGATGACCTCTAAAAAATTTTGTGCAGCCACCAGATCAATTCTGTATAAATTTTCAATCCAGGAATGCTGATTTTCTAACTTTTCACTCACTAATTATCATAAAAATATATACTATTTTGGACAATTTCTAACTGAAGTCTATATTTTGGATAAGATTTTAAATGCAAAGGAAAGTGGACACTATTGCAAGAAATGCTTATGTTTTTACTCAAATGTGTCCATGAGTCATTTTCTGCTGACACAAATGTGTCCATGGAAAAATATTTTCTGAGAAACCCTGATCTAGAACAATGATAGATTATATAAAAATATCATAAAATTAATTGTACATATATTTATGATGGCCATATAAATTATGAATCAAGCTATGTTGAAAAGATTAGATTTTTAAAATAATATGTGGATTTATTATCATTATAATAATTTATTTCCAAGGGAATTTCCCCTATTTTGGGGGGTATACATATAGTAATATAATTTTACATTTTATTTTACATAATTATATAATAAGAAACATAATAAAAAAATAAATCAGTAAGTCAACCTGACTTAACAACATAACATTAGTTGATGTTTTAAACAACTCAAAAAATACAAATTGTCTTAGTAATTCATTTTCTAGGATTTAAAGTTGTGATGATAAGCCAATGGTTAAATATTACAGAGAATTTTCTCAGTAAATTTTACAAAAAAATTAAAAATTTTGTAAGCATCTTTTTTATTAATATTATTTAATTTATTTCTGAAGTCAATAGGTGAATTTAAACAGCATATATTTTTGATATTGCATTTTTCACGTATATTATTCAAGGGTTGACAGTTTTGTAGGAGGTGAAGCACCGAAAAATCCTCTTGTTGACATAGCAGGCAGTGTGTATTTGAAAGATTTATATAAGTATTATTAATAAAAAGCGAGTATTTATTTAGGCGTAGTTGAATTATTAATCGTTTTACATTCAGGTCTATTGGTAACCATATATAAGGTTGGAACGAAGGGATATTTAAGATGTTGGTGTACCAGGGATGATAATTACTTTGGTTTAAGGAAAGTTGATCTTTATTGATTGATTGAGCGATAGCAGAATTCATCAAAAGAGAGTAACCATATTTCCAGTCATGAATTGAGTCTGTAAACAATAGTTCCGATATGTGGATTTATTATTTAACTAAAAGACCTAAAAGTAAAATAAAATTGAAATTTAAAATTTAAAGCTTTCATAATTATGAAATTTCTTAAAAATCTCTTGAAAAGATCATATATTTTTCCTTACAAGAAAACTTAATTTTAAACTTAAAGAAAAACTAATGCTCTTATCTAGTACTAAAAAAAAGAATAGTAACAGGAAAATGTCAGTAGCTACTAAGATTAATTTTTTTATGAATTGAGATTTGGATATTTGTGAATTAGAAAGTAAAAAAAAAATAGTCTAAAAATAAAAAAGTTCATTTACCATGAATATATTTTGATAATTGTCTCTTAGTGACTGGTAAAATTACAGACAACTCAAATTCTTGATCAAAGATCTTAATTATTCATCAAGCCACAAAATTGTTATTAAATGACTGACAATTCAACTTGATTTGTTGTTATTTTTATTGTCTTTGTTACTTTTTTGTTGCCTTTTACAATGTTATATTGATCATATTAGATAATTAGTTTTTTTAGTATTTCCTGTAATTCAATAAGAAATAATAATAGTGGAAATCAACTTAACATTTATTTAAGAATATTAAATTGATTAGTAAGAGGAATATTAAATTATAAGATACATTCTTCTTTATAGAAACCTTTTAGTTTTTTTCCAACTGTCTACAGTCTATTTGCTCTAAAATAAATCTTATGAAGTTAATTAAAATTATTTAGAAACTCTATATTTCTGTCTTTTTAAAATTATTGTGAAGTGATGATAATTAAAATTATAAAAATCAAAGTAAATAAATTTTTAAAATTCCAATTCATTAAAATTTCTTTGATTATTTATATTAATTAAATTATATATAATTAATACAGAATAAGCCATTAATACCACTTCAGTCTGATTTTAATCAGTCAACTGGGCAACGTGTGCTGACATGTTTTATGCTTCCTCAAGTTTCTTCAGATGGAGGTATAATTTTGTATTACTTTCTTATGAATTTTTATGAATTCAATAACTTGTTTTAACTGAAAAATATAGAAGATGCTGATAGGAGATGGAATTTTGAATTGTATGAAGAACATTTGAAAGAAGAAAGACAGCAAATAAAATTTGCTTTTGATACTCACCTTGATCAGCCTGTAAGTAAATTAGAAATTATTCATTTCCTTTATTTGTTAACAGAACAAGAATAAGATCTAGTGTTGTTTTATTATTATTACTTTATAAAAGTTTTTATTAAATACAGTGGTGTAACGAACATAACTGGTGCCTGGTGCATGATACATCACTTTGCCCCCTCGCTATGCCACTGATTGAATACAGTAATAATTTCTAAAGTTAATTTAAAACAGCATAATAAATACATATGGTTTTTTTCTTAAATAAATCTAATTAAAAATTAGAGATATTTTTCAAGTAATAATATGTAGTTTATTCTTGTCTCATTACTTTATCAAGTTTGAATGTTCTTTGTCATGAATATCAGCTTAATTAGGGTTGCGTAATTACACAAGGCAGAAAATAACAGGAAAATAAAAGTTACATTAACAAAACCTGGGGCTGCTACAAATTAGAATTTACAGCCACAAGTTGTTCATGACTGATTTAAACAGTAATAGTAAGCTAATACCATTTAGACATATTTAAATTGAATATAAAATGGATTAGAAAAATAATGTGAACTTTATTATGCTAAAATAAATGAATCACAGAATTTATAAAATAAACGTTTGTTAATTTAAATTCCAGGGACTGAAAAATTTAGTTATTTTGATGATTTGAACATTAAATATCTAATGAAGTAATAAAACTTCAAGAAGCATCATAAGTTTTTCTTACTTTTTAGAAGTAGGAAGGAAATATATGTATTTATTAAATTATTAAAAATAAACATAAGTGTCATAAAATTTAAATCTGTTAAAACAGTGAAAATTTGCTGAAATAAATATTAAGGTGCTGAGACAATGATGATTAACATTGCATTAAAAAATATAGCAATTACTTGAATAACTTTCCTGGCTATTATGAAATTTTATTTAAAAAATACATTTTATATTGTTAATTATAATAAACACGCAAAGTACTTAATTTTGAGTGTAGAGATGAGTTTTTAAAAATATTATAAATTCCAATAATGATTAAAATTAACTCTGATCCCACCCAAGATATGACATATGACCTCCATTCCTTCACCCCATCAATCTTTAACCACCAAACTTTAATAGCTCAATATCCTTTATGTACAAGTTATTATGTTAAATTTCATTTATTAATCTTTACTTCATCCTGAGATGTTAAATGAAATAGATGCTAACACACATATCCATGGAAATTTTTTTTATTGTTTTAATTTTTTAATTTTTTTGGGTGTGGTGGTGGTGTCTCAAAACATTGAGATTTGCAAATAATCCAGCGGGTCAAATTTGACACAATTTCAATACTTCCTTGTATTAATAGTTGGGAAAGTAGAGAAAGGAAGACATGCAATAAAATATGGCTAGCAAAATCAAATAGATCATTTTTCAAACCAACTTTCTCACATCTATGACACAACATTTATAATGTGTAATGCAATTTATTTATTTGAATTATCCAGAAGGCTTTTAAAGTTTCAAATTAATATATATAATGTAATTTTAAATTTTAATATAACTGTACAATCTATGAAATTTGAATTAGTTGAACATTCAAATTATTTAACTTCATATTAATAAAAAGCTTACTGTATTTTAAAAGATGTATTTTTATAAAGTTTTTAAAATAAAAAATAATGCTATTAAAATAAAATATATGATATAAATTTTTAATGAAAAATTATTATTTATTAAACCATTTGCTTATTGATAAGTTTGAAATTTCATTTTGCATTATAACCATATTATATAAAATAATATTCTTTATTTATATCTTTTAATATTTAATGTATATTTATATGCATACCACAAATTTTATTTGTTAAAAAAAATCAATTTCACAATGTTTCAGGGGAAATTAGTTCGAGCTCCCACTCCTTATCCAAAGGAATTGAGACCTCATGCAAAAAAATATGCATTGAAAAAACATGAAACAAAAGAATTAATATTTAAAGAACCCAAATCTGAAATGATGGGATTTGAGGTAATTTAATATATAATTTCATGTAAGATTTTAATTTATTATATTAAATTAATATTTCAATTCATCACATGTATTTCAGCATCTGAATAAACATCAGAATATGGAGAATTGTGTAGACTTAAAAGGTATGGTACTAGCTGTAGGAAATATTGAATCTCGCGGTAAAGTTAAAGAAGCAAAGATTTCAAAACCAACATCTCCTAACATGTCACCTCACCTCAGAGAAACATATCAGAATTGTATATCACCTGTTAATAAGAGATAAAATGAATCTCTGTGTTCCTGATTTATAAATAATTGAAAACTATATATATATATATCAGTATTAGAAACAAAATGAAGTTTTAGTTGTTTTACGAGTATCGGTGGTTTTATTAGAGCTTTTTATTATTATTATTTATGCATTTCAGCTTTTTTAATTTAACATTTTTAAAAATTTGGTAGAAATATTTATCATATTTATATCTGGATGGGTGCTAATATTAAAAAAAAATAATTTTTAGCATTTATCTATATATATATTTTTTTTAGTCACAGTTATTTCATATTTTTGTGAAGAGAAAGTAAGTGAACGATTTTCATTCCATGTTATGTAATTTGTGCCTTGTTATATTTTTATGTACAATTTAGTTATTTTGTTGAAAAATTGTTAATAAAAATGAGTTGACGGTAATGATGTTGAAAGAATAGTTAAACATATCAAATTGTTGAAATATTACTAGCAAATTTTGAAATTTTATAAATCAGTTAATTGATGCCAGAAAGATAAAATGGCATAAAGAAAATTTTAAAATTATTATATTAAATTAATATTTCAATTCATCACATGTATTTCAGCATCTGAATAAACATCAGAATATGGAGAATTGTGTAGACTTAAAAGGTATGGTACTAGCTGTAGGAAATATTGAATCTCGCGGTAAAGTTAAAGAAGCAAAGATTTCAAAACCAACATCTCCTAACATGTCACCTCACCTCAGAGAAACATATCAGAATTGTATATCACCTGTTAATAAGAGATAAAATGAATCTCTGTGTTCCTGATTTATAAATAATTGAAAACTATATATATATATATCAGTATTAGAAACAAAATGAAGTTTTAGTTGTTTTACGAGTATCGGTGGTTTTATTAGAGCTTTTTATTATTATTATTTATGCATTTCAGCTTTTTTAATTTAACATTTTTAAAAATTTGGTAGAAATATTTATCATATTTATATCTGGATGGGTGCTAATATTAAAAAAAAATAATTTTTAGCATTTATCTATATATATATTTTTTTTAGTCACAGTTATTTCATATTTTTGTGAAGAGAAAGTAAGTGAACGATTTTCATTCCATGTTATGTAATTTGTGCCTTGTTATATTTTTATGTACAATTTAGTTATTTTGTTGAAAAATTGTTAATAAAAATGAGTTGACGGTAATGATGTTGAAAGAATAGTTAAACATATCAAATTGTTGAAATATTACTAGCAAATTTTGAAATTTTATAAATCAGTTAATTGATGCCAGAAAGATAAAATGGCATAAAGAAAATTTTAAAATTATTATATTAATATAACAACTGCAACAGATCAATAATTGTTAGTTGCCATGTTCATATTTAGTAGCCAAAATATTGTTGATTATTGTAGTTGTTTTTCAATAATTTTTAATGTGCAAATGGATTTTTAACCACATCATAATAAGGATTTTTATGTAGTTTTACTAAATGTTTTAATAGAAATTTTTGACCGACAATTTTAAATGCTCAAATTTATGCTTTTCTCATCAAAGTATGAATAACACATTGTGTACTTTAAATGTTTAGTACATAAACAATCAAAAAAGAACATAATGATAAGCATGAATTTTGAATATTGAATTGCTCAATAGTGAAGTTGATGTTAATGTTAAAAAAAGATCAGATTTTGCACTATAAAAAGAGTATAATTACAAATGCACATTTTAACATTTGTTGTTATAACTTAATATGTTTGAGAAAAAATCTGTTGTAGACGACAAAATATTTTAAATTTGTAAAGAATCTATGATGCCGTCTTTTATATTCAAAATAGAAAAACCATATAATAATGTTGCTGTCCAGTTGACGCGTCCATACCACACGAAAAAACAACACAAAATTAATTGCCAATGTTTTCCAATGTTATGTCATTTCATTACACTTCAAAATTATAATTGATATTGTATATTAATTAATCTATTGTAATGTTTATCCTTAAATCATTCTTTAACATTGTATATTAAATAAAATGTTATTCATTAAAATTTGTTGAATAGTGTCTACATCTTTTCAATATAAATTCTGAAATTTTTTTTATTAATTAAAATTAATATATTCTTATTTAAAACTTGAAATTATATTTTAAGCTAGGAATTATGTTTGTAATTTGATCTGTCAATGCAATTCAAAATTTGTTTTAAGATAATTTGTAGTGTAAATATATACTGAAGCAGGACTCAAACCCACATCATTCTCTGGTTACTGAGCGGATGTATTATCAGTTATGTGTCTGCATGTAGACAGAGGGTCAGATAGTGTAATTGGTAATGCATCTGCTTCGTAAGCAGAGGATATAGGTCTGAGTCCCACTTTGAACTAATCTTTTCTTTCAAAATGTACTGAAGCATCATCATGTTTCCTATTTTTCTGTTTAAAATTTAATAATGCAATAACTCACCTACTTAAGGAAATAACTTTGGACGATAATGTCAAGAGGTGTAGTATGGCTGTAATTAATGGAAATACTAGCTTTATTTATTCACTTTGACATTAAAAGGACATGTTTAAAACAATTGGAAATTGTATAACTAGAATATTTCATAATTCATTGAGTATTATTAGCTTGCTACTACCTTTAACAAAATTAGTGTCTACTACTATTTTTCAGATGCTGACAAATAGACACAACTCATACTGATGCAATCATCATAACAAACTTACAAATCCAACTTAAAGGTGGAGTAGGGAAAAAACGTTTATTCAAGTTAACAGTAAGTAATTTAATTGCAGGTTACAGATACTGTATATGTGGATAAACATTAAATGCTACATCCAAAATACATAATTGTATTTTGGTTGTAGCATTTTTATTGTTTTGTACCATTTTTAATATTTATCCATATATATCTGTAAACAGAATTACTTTCTTTCAACTTGAAAGGTTCCTGTCCATCTTCAAACTGAATTTGTGATAGTTTTTTTTTTATTATGATTGCATCAGTAAAAGTTGTAATTAGTTTCCAATTCAAATAAAAAATGCCAGCAATTTAAACTACAATAATGAGAGCAGAATTACTGTTTAAGACTACTAATTGCATCAGCCATATATTGAGAGATTTAAAGTGATGGTGATAACTGAACTCTGATTACAATAAGCAAAGTTTTATAAGTATATTTTAACTTGTGTGCTTTGAAACCTATTAATTTTGATAACATTAGATAACTTGTTTATATAACATTAGATATATCCATGACTATAATAAGCAGAATTTAATATCTTATATTTGAATTTTTAATATTTTCATTTATATAATTTGTTCTTGAACAAACTATGAACATTTTGGAATAAAATTAGAGGAGGAAGAATAGATCTGTAATTCTATATTTTGGGATAATTGTATAATAGTTTTAAGATAATATGATAAAAAATTAATGTAGAACTATAATATAATCTATCCCATTAAGATATTTGGATTAGGATAAATGGTATAGGATGATGTGACACAAAATAATTTTCCAAGGAGATGCCTCCCAGGAGGACTTTCTATGAGAAATAGGCTTTTATTTAGGTATTATCCATGAAGAAAGTCTGAAAAATTGTATATGACCAGCTCATTGGTTAGGTGCAAACCACAACAACCATTGTTAAGTGATGTTACCACTCAGCCACTGGCAGATATTGAGATATTTGAGAAATAGTCAAATATGTTAAGACCCAAACACTTTTTGACAGGGTCTTTTCTGAATTGAATGTCTTACAGATGTATTAATTCACTCATCAGGAGTGCATATACTTTTGGGATCAAACTGATCCAAGATCACTTCGATCGTACAAATCGTGTATACAAACGAACTACTGTGATCCGATCGATCTCTATTTGCGTATACAAACGCCATCTAGGATCAACTGAATCTCGATCAAACTAATCCTAGCGGAGGGTAGGATCGTTTGGATCGGATAAAAGAGATTAAAGATGGCGGCTTCCATGGTCGAAGTTAAGCTGACAGTGCATTTCTTCCTTTTCCTATTACTATTTCTTTTGATTGTAATAAAATGGGAACAAGATCCTTCAGTAAATTTTCGAAAGTAAGTCGACTTACTCGAAAGTGTTCTTTAAAAACATGTGGCCTATATTCTAATGCAACCTCTGAAACATAGTTAGTTATTTTGCATACCGATTTCTTTTTTTTTCTTACTTTTATATTGTGTTAAACAATTAACCAAAATTAATTCTTCTTCCTCGGATTCTGAATGTAATTCCGATAATATTTCTAAAATGATTCCTAAACTTGCCGCCATCTTCGATCCTACTCGTATACTTTCCGCCATGACAGAAGCTATCTGTATCACGTGACAAGGACTGATCCGATTTTACTGATCGATCTATACAAAACGAAAAGTATATGCACCCCAGTAAAGTGAACATGTATGAAACAAAATAGATATCTACTAGGATTTTGAAGTAAAATCAAATACTGATGATAATTTCAAGCATATAATTGACTAGCATATGAGCCCGGTGTTGCTTAGGCAAAAAATAGCAACAGCAAAGATTATTATTAGATCATTTTGTAATTCTAACCCTTCTATTAGATTATCTCTAAGAAACTCTACCAATAACAAACGAATATCAAAATGGTCATTTGACACCGAATCAAATTTCGCGCAAAACGGACCACATATTTAAACTCGGCACCCTCGAAAACTACTTAAATCATATTTTGTGCAAGCTGGTAACCTCGTATTATGTAATTTTCCTAATCAACTGCCACCATACCGATGGGTCCGATAGGAAGAAGGGAGTGTTGCAGATGGAGGTTGAAGTTAATTCCACTAGAAGTAGTAATTGTCCTTCTCCCGGAAGAGAGGATAGTCAACGACTACTATTTAATACTGATCTACTATTAATATTTGAAAAGTGATCCATGTTAGACAAGTTGTGAGGGGTCCGCATGTGATCGAAGTTATGGCAGTTATGGCAACGCAACGTTTGTGCGATCTGCCTAGGGGGATGCCTTCCGGGAAGTCTTTTTTTAAAGGTAACTGGCCCCTGTTCAGGCATTACAGACGTGGAATTTTCCGAACTCCCAGTGTTCAGGTAACGGAATCGCTACTGGTGGGCCCTAACGTCCAAAAGACTTCATATGACTTGTTTCAATAAAAAATCTTGTAAGGACGCGAGAATAATTGCTTTATATTGTGACGTAGTTTTTACAAGTTTTAAAATTGAAATACTATCCAATCTAACTCAGCCCAAAGAAAAACCACTATCCTTTGTTTAGTGTGACATAGACGAAAAAATAAACGCAATAGACAAATGTGGATCTTCGGTGGAAAAAAGACTGCTTCTTAGAATTTTGGTAATATCCGGATTTCATTATCGGGCAGGCGAATTAACGTTAAAAAGTAACGGCGCCTTCGATTCAATAAAGCATTTTATGCATGTTTTATTCATTTTTCATTTAAAAAATTTTAAATGAAACGCTTGTTTGACGTTTTCTAAATAGCATATATCTTTTCATACCAGTATAAAAAATCGTTGAAAATATAAACCATATGGTGAAA